TCAGAACCGACTCGACAGCACTTAACAACAATCCTAAATATGGAGTCTTGGTGTGCTATTGTAGGATGAAACCTAACTACTAAATATACATATGGAGTTGTGGTGTGGCATTGTAGAGTAGCACTGGACTGCTGACCACAAGGTGGGCAGTTCAAACCCACTAGCAATTCCATGGAAACCCTATACAAGGTCGCTATGACTTGGAACTGACCTGACTTGATGGCACTTAGTAGTTGTTCGTGCCATTGAGTTGGTTCTGACTCATAGTGACCCAGTGTAGTGTTTCTGAGGCTATAGATCTTTACGGGAACAGAAAAATCTTCCTCAGAGCAGCTGGTGGGACTTGAACTGCTGACCTTGTGTTTCACAGTCCAGTGCTTATCGTAAAGTGCCACACCAGCCACTACTTCTAAGTAGATTCCTCAAAAATTGTCATTGTTTTAAGGAGTCGAGTTCTATGTAAGTGTTAGCCACCCAAGTTCCAAATGATAACTTGGTTTCAAAGGAGGGGGCTGTATGTACGAAACGTGTGTCTGACGCTTTGAAACCATCTTGGAGGAATTCTAATAGTTTTCTTTCCCCTTTTTATGTGCAGCATAGTAAGTGTGCTACATACTCGGTGGGTATGCAGAAGACTTACTCCATGATCTGCTTAGCCATAGAGGACGATGACAAAACTGATAAAGCCAAGAAGATCACGAAAAAGCTCTCCTTCTTGAGTTGGGGCACCAACAAGAACAGGCAGAAGTCTGCCAGCACCATGTGTCTTCCGTCGGTGGGGGTCGGGAGGCCGAACCTCAAAAAGAAGCTCCCGTCTCCCTTCAGCCTTCTCAATACAGACAGTTCTTTGTACTGACGGGAGGAAGCAAAACGTGTCTGCGCGCTGACGAGGCCTTCCTGTTTGTGCCGTAATGGAAACCCACCTATCTCAAACCTTGTTTTCTTAGGCTCAACTTGCTGTTGGTCTTTTCTTTAATGAATGAAATTAACAAAAGAAACCTCTAGAAATTTACAGATGACCAGCTGATTGGAGTGCTACTGTGTTGCTACAAGTTATTTATTATATGAAGTATTGTAAATAGAATAGTACTGAAAATAATGACTAATGATTATAAGGATGACTTTCAGAGTTAAATTTAGATTCCTTACTTTGGTCCTGTTGGTAACTGGCCAGACTTGAGTAATAAGAGATCTTTCTTTAACCTGGAGAATCTGAGGACCCCCAGAATTTAAGACAAGTCAGGGACTACAACACAGTGATAGTCTTAAATTCATGTTACTAAAACTTGTTCCAAAGAGCTGCTTCCTAAATCTTCCTCCTTAATCTAAAATGACAGGGTTTTACTGTTACACTTCCAAATCATTCGAAAGCTACTTCCAGATAAAGCCCAGTGCCAAATTTGTCATGACTTTCCAAGTGAAAACAATTTAGGAGCAGCTTTTATTGTAAGTTTATGTCCTTAACAAATTGCTAACACAGTGGCAGTGTTAGATGAAGATACTATCTACAAGGTAGATACTATACTGTTTGATACTCAAAACATTTCATTTTGTGTCAAGTAAAAAATACATAGTTGTATATTTTTAAAGAGTTTTGGGTTAAAACTAGCTTCACTTTTTCTTTTTTTTTTTAAGGTAGGAATGTACATGATTTAGGTTTAAAGATCGATTTTGACTTTTTAAAAATGACATTCTGTTGATCGATTTCTCTTGCTGTAAGTTGGATGATACCGTGATTCTCTAGAGACTCACTGTTGACTTAATACAGGTATCCTGGTGTAGAGCTAAAAAATAGAGCATCGAAATCTAAGTTTTGAGAATTAACAAGAAGGTAATGTTTTCTATTGTGCAATATCAAAAGGGAAGCGGCCACCTTAAGGAAAGTATGCTCACTGCTCCTAGGGACACATTTGTATATTTAAATAAAGACATTCGTTTACACGAAACGTATGCTTTTGCTTCTTAATAAGATCTGACTTGTTTTCAGTGAAAGGTTACACAACAGATTCCCATTTGACAATCTCTACTCAGATTGTTCTGTGGAGTTGGTAACAGTCTTCACAACTCACAAACTTTCTCTGTTATTTCCTTTCTGATTGTTTTGTTACCAGGAATCTAGTTTCCCAGGCCTCTTACACTCTCATCTTTGTTTTAAAAGCAATTGTTGACAATTGGTATCATAGAGATGATTTTTTTAAAGTAGTATAGTACTCATATACTCACCATACTTATTCAACCTGTATGCTGAGCAAATAATACGAGAAGCTGGGTTCTACGAAGAAAAACGTGGCATCAGGATTGGAGGAAGACTCAACAACCTTCAATATGCAGATGAAACAACCTTGATTGCTGAAAGTGAAGAGGACTTGAAACATTTACTTATGAAGATCAAAGAGCACAGTCTTCGATATGGATTACATCTCAATGTCAAGAAAATAAAAATCCTCACCACTGGATCAATAAACATTCTTATCACTGGAGAAAAGATTGAAGTTGTCAAGGACTTCATTCTTCATGG